TAGGGTGTGTGAGTAAGATGGTGATTTTCCATACTGCGCTGGGCTTTGACGCAGGAAAAACAGTGTCAGTTTATCACACCACTTCAGTTGACTACAAAGCTCAGCTAAACATGAGATAATAGAGGGCCAAAGCCGACATGTTTTTTCTTTACTCGAGTGTAGATGCAGAGGCCCTAAATCAGATCGGAACCCTTGCACAGGAGTAGGGAAACTTTAACCCTCCCTTGCAATTTCTACTACTGAAGCATTTGCAAAGTAGGCACATAGGTAAATAGAAATGTAAGTCTGTATTTATTTATCTACCCACATGGAGCTTCCAAATACTTGATGCATCCAGTATAGTGGTAAGTAAGGTTAAATGCTGGTGATTTATAAAGGGTAGTAATGGGGAAAAATATCACCACCACCACACCAGCAGAGTTCAATTATATTTCCCATCTCTTATGTTTATAAAATTGAAACCTAAGATACACTTTGCTTCCAAACAGTGATCTATAAATTGCCATTTACAATCACCTTATGATTGCATTAATTTCATAGCTGCTGGTCTTTACACTAGTATGAGATACTTTGCCCTTTTTATGAAATAAATAGTTGCATGCATAAGCTGTAATTCACTTTGTTGGCATTTTATGTACATCAATACATAACAGCAACAGCTGCAACAACAGCAACAACAAATGCATCCCATGGACTAAGAAGTGGCAAATAAAATAGGAATACTTTCAAAAGCTTTTTTTTGCGGGGGTGGGCAATACTGAAAACATGTCTTTAAAATAAAGGCTATAGTAGCAGCACGGAATACATTAGGCCTTTCAGAGGATCATGTGGGTCCCTCTAGAATAATAAATTACAGAACAATAAAAATAATGCTAACAAAGCAAGTCCTTGTTCTAGTAGTCCTCTGTTCTAAGACTATGAAGATGTGCAGTTATGACAAGCACCAGGGTAATTAAAAGAACAACATCCACTATAGTGAAACGATCAATACGATGAATCTTTTTAAGAAGAGGATTTATTCATGGCTTGCCAGAACCCAGAATAGATCTAAAAACATTTTATGAAAGAATTCCTCTAAATTAAATCTAACTATTCAATTGTTGTTCTTGACATCACCAAAACTACTCAACTGTCCTGAAAGAGGGAGAAATGTAACTCAATGAATACTTCATCATAAAAAGAGTTTTTAAAAAAATTATCCTCATTTCCTGTGCATAATATCTTACAATGCTTATAATAAGCTCCATAAAATAATTAGTCGAACATCCCCAGTGACCTGCTAATCTGAATATAATGCTTTTTACCAATATTGCATGCTTTCACATCAGCATCAAGTAAAGGGAAATAGAGCTGCAAAATACAGTTTATCATCCTGCTTCATATTTCATCATTTCTTTAACCAGCTCCTTGATATATTATCAAGACAAGTGAATCTATTCATTTCTCCCAGCAAACAAAAACAGGGACACCCCAAAGAATACGAGAGAATTATGACAGTTCTTCCCTTATTCCTCACCAGCAGCTAAGGCATGATGGCTTGACTAGACTTTCCCTTCTAAAATATTTGACTTATTTAGCTATAGGAAGAAGCTCAAGTCAATCCACAAATAAACATAGCAGAAAAAAACTGCCGACATCTGGCACACAGAATAGCTAAATTACTTTCAACGCATGCAGCGACATCTTAATTTCAACATAAACATAATATAAAAAGCAGGCTAGCTAGAAATGAGGAAATCGGCTAGCCACGAGTCTTATGACAGAAAGGAAAATTAAATGTCTAGCTTTGTTTATATCCTTCGCAAATACAAGTAAAAACAAAAGATGGCCAAAATTTGGGAAACGAAGGAATAAGCAATGTTGGGAAACATGCTAGCCATTGCAATCTTCTATTTGCTATTGCAATCTTCTCCTAGTTTTGTTGTAACTTGTACTAGCTGTACTCTGTTCCCACCCTTTCATGGATTATAAACAAGAATAATTCAAGAAATGCAAACTTCATGCAAAGTCTGGTGCCAGCAGAAGATACAAAATGTCTGTAGTTGCACAGAAATAATCCTTCTTTTGGACTTCTATAGAAAACAAAGCAACATGGTTTGCAAAGTTCATTGCACTACTGTTGAGAGCCAAACTAGGTGTTATCTGCAGGTATGCTAGACTACTACCAATACCTTCTTTTAACCAGGTACATCAGTTCAAATCCCCTTCTGTTCAAAACAACTTTCCAGGATGGATGGTGGGGGAACAACACTGCTGTTCTTCTTTTGCAGGTGATAATATACAGGACTCTCATGGCTTACACAAATGGATCAAAAAGCAGATGCAACAAGAAGGTTCAAAAGTTTCCAAAAACCTGCCTGGGTTCTTAGCATGCTCCCAGCTGCACTGGGTGTCACTGAAGAATTTCAGAAACTTTATTTTATATGTCATGTAGAGCTAAGGGACACAACTGGTATTACTTTAAATCTCCGTCTAGCAGATACATCTTAAAAAATTCAGACTCAGGAAAAGGAGATTGAGATCCATATCTTAATCACTCCGCTATCTTCCATTGCTAGGGATTTGATCTAGATTAGGGGCCCTCCACATACTCTAAAATAAAAGTATTAAAAAAGATGTAGCTGCTAGCCAGATTTTTCCTTTAGTGCTTTAGTTCCTATGTGTAAAATGGAAAATATGCTGGATACGAATAAGGTAAGAATTATGAGCTAGCAAATGAAAAAGCAGCTTTCTATTCCACTACCTCCTCAACCAGGCAATTAGTTCCTCCTTGCAGGGACGTGCATCATGTTTACAGGTTGATAATTTCTGATATTCTTCATTGCTACACATAGGCTCTTTGTACACGATAATGCAGTCAGCAGTAACATAGCAGTGAAAAATCTAAGGAGAAAACATTGTGTACAAAAGAACCCCAAGCACAGTTAGAGCTTTAAACCTTTCAGTTCGAGCTTAAAGTGGCAAATGTAATTGGCAGTAAGTTTTAATGGATACAACTAACAGGAGTTGCATTAGGGCAGCACAAATTAGCCCATTATACTCAGCCTGCAAACCAAACACCCGGAGACATATAAATAAAGGAGCTCTATGGAATGGAAGACCTGCCTTGAAAATTAGCAAATTTATTTACTGCTATACCCTTTAATGGCAACTTGCTTCAACACTTCTCTAGCCCATTTCAAAAGGCTGTACATATAATAGCAAGATAAGTATCTCTTAAAAATGAGTTTTTCTTTGAATCACCAAGAATCAAATGTATATGTTAATAAGGAAGCAAAAGCAGTAAGGTAATCTACCATCAATGGATTTATTTACATAAAGCTTATGGGATACGACTGGAGTATCTAACCCCTTCTTCATCATAGAGAGGGTGGGGACCGGCAGAGATCTGGGATGCTGCTTCCTGCAAAGAAACAAGGTATGCGGATAGCTGCAGCACTCTATGGCTCTGCGGAGGGGTGAACGGAAATGGCTGCATGAACTTCATTCCTCACCCCACCACTTCGCATTAGTACTTCTTTGGCAGACCGTGCAACAAGAGAAATACTCTGCCTCCCTCGGGACTTGTACTGGCTGTGGAATCATTGTCTATATTAAATAGTCCCAGGGTAAGTTGAGTTGGGTCCTATGAAGGCTTAGAAATTAAGTATCAGCCAGATGCAGTATGAAGAGTCTGGTGGACACTTGGAGGTAGCTGGAAAGACTAAGGGTAACATCCTCAGACCTAGCCATCAAAGTTCCACAGCTCAAGGAGACAGGGAGAACTTCAGTACAAGAACTTCAGAACTCTCCCTGACAACTTCAGTACTAGAAGCCTGCCAGGTGGGAGAATGTGCGTGCATGTGAGCGAGGGAGGGAGGGATGGCCTGGGCAAATATTCCCTACTTCTGTAACATATCAGATATGACTAGGGAATGAATTTTCCAGAAACACAAACCAGGCACATGATTCCTCATTTGTAGTAGTAGTAGTAGTAGTAGTAGTAGTAAAAGGACTACTCCAATGTCTGAAACCAAGAGGAAATAAATCACTTTAGCAGCTAAGATTCAGTCCATTGCACAACCTTTAAAATGTTATGATTAATGCAGTTGAAGCTTAACATCTGGCTTCTTCAGTGTGGTGGCCTGTGGAAAAAAGTTGCTTAGATGTTGTGAACCACTCAGAGAGTTTTGTAATAATTAAAATAAAATAAAAACGTAAATGTTTTCCTAATCAGGCTTAGTGGATATGCATGACTGTTTTCCTTCCTCTCCTACAAGGACGCATAGCCCCTGTTGAGATCAGGACCACAGTGCTTTATGAGAAGGGAATGTAAGCTTCTGCCACACCTGTTTTTTATGCAAAAATTCTGCTCACTTGCCCCACTGGGGGATTTAAAAAGGGGAAAAAAGTGTATTCAATGGAGAGTTTCCCCACTTTTAACAAAATCCCACCTTGGCCATGAGGAGTGTGGAATTCTTAAAATGGATGGAGCAGCTTAAACTCTCCCATCTGGAAATACTATAGTCCTAATCCGAACTGGGGTAATGCATACTTGCAAGAGAGTAGGGAAAGCAGACAGACATAACTCTACTTCATGATTAAGATATTATTTAGTGTCAACCGAAAGATTCAGCAAGTTAAATTGTAAATAAATACTTACTTGGAATCCAACACACAAAATGATATGGAAGTTTCTATATCGTACGGAGAATACTTATGAACTTGTGTATAAGATCTCAAATGTTGCATGGAGAACATTCTATGTTTGTGAACTTCAGCATTCAGATTTATAGACATATTGGAAGTAGTTAAAACATTCTTGTTACTGTGTACTATACTATGCAGAAGCAAATCAATACACATTTGCATTACAAGCTATTATATACAGTGAAGATTGCAATCTCTGCCAATACTTTCCAAATGCATTTTTAAAGTTGCTATCAAATCTCTCCCAGAACACATGAAGATCAAAACATGACCTGGATTATATATTGCTACTATTATTTTGTTATTCCTACCTTTTCTGGAGATGGAGGTGGATTAAACCTCTTTGCACAGACTAAAAACACATCAGGCTCTGGCTTGCCATTCTTCACTTCAGGGTCATCTCCCAATACAATATGATGAAACAAATTAAAGAAGTCTTTGTGTCGACCGGTTTTCATTTCAAATGACACTCGAGACGAGCTAGTGGCAACAGCTATGGGCACATTGTGTCGATGTAGATGCTGAATTAGTTTTTCAACTCCTGTAAAACACAAGTATACCCTTTAAAATACACTTGTACAAACAACAGTTTATCAGTTCTGTCCTATACTGTCATACACAATATTTCCCGCTGTCAGTTTTTCTGCACTTTTGGGGTTAAATGCATAGACAAGACCAACATTGTTGTTTCTGCCTATATTACATACATTTAAGTGACATACAGACAAACTGCAAATATTCAAATAGAATCCCAAAAATAGTACCTTAAGGATAAATATAATGGTAAAGTTAATATTGACGCTATTGCCATACAGCAAAATAAGTTAGGCAGGTTTGCAGGAGACTAATTCTGTCACTGAAGTGTGCTACAACCATACTTTCTGCAGAGGAATTGCTTCTCTAGCATTTGTGCTATGGGTGATATTCAGATGGAGTTTTTCCATGTGAGAGGGGTGGCCACCTCCTTGTATGTCGAGAAGTTCTACATACATCCGTTTATAAGAAAAACCTTTCTGTAGGACATCTGACCAAGCATAGGCAGGCCTAGCTTTCATGCCCAAACAAATTGAGCCTGGGACCTTTGCTATGAGAAGCTGCACCACTGAGTTACAGTCCTACTTCCAAAAAGACTGCTCTTTCTTGTATATACTTCATGAGCTACAGCTTTACATTTTACCTAGAAAAGCTCAACTCATACTCAAGATTGAGTACAGGTTGTACATGTGTTGCTGTTGGTGTCTTGCAGTGATGGTGAACCTTTGAGAGACTGAGTGCCCAAACTGCAACCCAGAACCCACTTATTTATCACAAAGTGGCAATACTGCAATAAAACCTGAATACTGAGGTTTTAGTTTAGAAAAAAACAGCTCATACATTAACATCTTTTGTCTTAAAAGAAAAACACAGTAGCAGAGAGGAGGAGTCATATTCCTGTTCAGCGATCCCAAGTCGGGGGACACCGGGCTTGCTTGCGCCCAGGTGTGCACACTCCCTCCCTCCTCGCCCCAAAACCAGCTACTGGGAATGCCACAGGAGCTTTGGCGGTGCTTGAAAGTTTCCCGGATGGGCAGAATGCGGGGGAGAGAGACCTAAACTAAAGGTGAGAAGAGGCTATCGCTGATCCCTTCCACTCTTCCATTGAGATCTTCCTCGAGGTGCCCCCCCCCCCACGATGCTGCCAAGTCTTGGTGAGGTCAGCAGGGGAGGGAAGACCTGCCACACGTCTACTCCTCTCGCTTCACAGCACTTCCAGCCTCCACTTTTCCTCGTTTTGGCCTCCCTCACAGGGAAGCACCATATCAATCCCAGGCACCCTCTCTCTCCCCCTCACTCCAGCTGCTGCTCCACTGACTCGACCCCGTCACTCACTCCCTTCTCCCAGCTTCCCCCGACCTGTGGCCACAGGTGCAGGAGCCCAGCCCAAGAGGGGGTGTGTGGGCAGGCGGGCACGCGGCTGCCTGGCTGCGCCTGTGGCTACTGAGCCGGCAGGGTCCCGCCACTGTGCGAGGAGGGCAGCTTGGGCGGCCGCTCACATGCTGCAGGCCGGGAGGAGGGGGAGGCGGAGGCAGGAGGAGGGTGCCACCACCAGTGCTCGGCACACCCGCTCGCCGCTCGCCCATTCCCTTCCTGGCACACCTGCTGCAGCTGATGCACCTGCCTCTGGCCACCTGTCCGACGCTGCCTCTTGCAGCGAGTCACAGCTAATAAGTGATGTGGTCGCCTGGCGCTGTTACTCTTTCCAAATATGTGTATGGCTGCTGCGGCAATGCTGAGAGGGCTCTGCGTGCCTGCTGTGGCATGCGTGCCATTGGTTTGCCATCACTGGTGTTTTGTCTGAACTCCACTGTTCTAATTACTAGGTACAAACAACTCGCAGTTCAAAACTAATAATAAACCATGGGTTTCTGATGGGTTGTTCATGATTTACAAATTCTAGATTGGTGACATAGCTAGGTTTACACATCACATTTCAAGAACAGTCAACACTTGAGTATCATTGCGAAGGGAACAGAATATTAGACCAGTGGTTCTGTCCTGAATATAGTATGGCAGGATTGAAACTGGTACCATCTAACAGGAGTATAGCTAAACTTTCTGAAGATCCACATTGGTCCTGTGTTAGTGCAGCAATGGTATGATGGAATATTGGCCACAGCAACCTGAGTGGCTGGTGGGATTTGCCAGAAGCAAGCACAAAGCAGCTGCTGAAAGGCATTCGGGAGAAAAAACGTGTCTGAGGCAGATAATTTTAGAGTGTCACTAGAAAATAATAGCAATGGAAGAATGTTTTCAGGAGTGGCTGAGAACTTGGGGAAGACAATAGCATAGCAGCAGCTAGACAGGGTAGCTAAGGTAAATATGGGCAAGACAGAAAAAAGCCAGAAAGTATGGGGAGAAGAACCCTAAAAGAACAAAGTACCAGGGGTAACAAGCCCTGGGTGACAGTTGGGACCATCTGAAGGCAGACCAGTTGCTGGACCAGATCAAAGAAAGTCTAGTAAATCATCATTAAAGTTAATGGGTGTAAATCAAGTATTACTAGAACATCAGACACTGATTGCTAGGCATGTGTGTTAACTGGTATGCACCCTGACAGGGGAATTGGTTTAATTTTGATTAAAGTTAGAAACTATAGCTTTTAGAACTGGATTAATGGTAAGAGTAACATAAAAACCCTAATTTCAAAAAGGGTTCATTAAATAAAGCTTTGTAGCTTTATGGTGCCAGTGGAAGAGAATGGCAAGACAATGTTGGATTTTCTTCATTCGGATGTTAGTAGCAGTGGGATGGTCCGAGTGAAAAGGGATATTTCTCCATCATTGATAGCTACAGCAGTGGGATTACTCCCCCGCCACCCAAAAAAAGGGGCCTCAGCTAGAGGTTTTTTACTTTATTTTTTTGCACAGGTGCATATTTTGCTTTATATAGAAAAGTAAGCTGGAAGGAACAAGTTTAAACCTCAGCAACTTTAAACAATGATTAATCACACATGTCAAATTAAGAAGTCTGAACACAGACATAGGGGAAAAACAACTGACAGGATGAACTCTCATGGGACTACAGAAGCTTTCAAAAGGAACTATTCAGCATTTTCTATCTGAAAGTTCTAAAAATACAGAAGACAAAATCTCACAAATTAAACTTTTTTCTTTTCCTCCTCCTCCTCTTTCTTCCCTTCTCTCTTTGTTCTTTTATCATTCCCCTTGGTGTCTGTCCTCTTTCGAGTTGGCTGAAACTGGGGTGGCAATAACTATTCTGGCAGCATGATTCTGTTATTTATGTATTTTGTTCTCCATAAAGTATTAATCATGTATAATGATATCAAAATAGTCAAAACATTGACTACAAATGTTTTTTTTCTACCTACCCCTGTGACTAATTTTGTATGCTTCCTGGGACCCTCCAAACACAGTAACAGCACTTTAAAATCACTTGTATATCTGGATACTAAAAAAGTCAAGTTACTTTTAATTCACTGTGAGTATATAAATGTCATTACACTGCCTGGTCTATACTTGAACCGCTATTCTGAAAAGCTGTTGAAGTTTTATTAACCAGTTTAGAAATAAACACCCGTTTAGAAAATATTTATCAGCCTCTCACCTGAAACCCTGAAATCCAGGTGAAATTAAAAATATGTTTGTTCACATGGCGCTACAGGAAGCCCAAGGGTCATACTTGAAAAATGGAGCAATGTGCATATTGCTTAGAATTTATTTAAATTGTCAAACAGGCCTCCGTTATATTAAATCCAAAAAAAGGTACTTTCAAAGAGCTGAATATTCTGTGAAGATGCTGGAGATAAAAGGTAATGAATACCAGGATGGAGTGATTTCAATGAAGTCTCATACAGTATACTTTCCTGACCCAGCATGCATACTAGTAAGTTGCTTTAAAATTAAAACATACTGATTTGCAACTAAATAGAGCATGCATACTACCTAGGAGCATAATCGGAAAGCTTTGATCATGCAGCCCACATGTATTTTGCACTGCAGACATATCTGCATAAAGGCATGTTGGGATTGTAGAATTGTGAAATTAATGGATTTCTGCTTGTCTTTTTTTATACAGCTTCAGGGACACTAAGTAACTTTACTCCATTTCCAAGTGAGGGTCTAGAGGTTTTTCCAAAAAGAGTCACTGGATGGAATAGGAGATTGACAATGAATAGCCTTGTTTGCTTAGTAAAGTCATAAATATTCATAACTGATTATATTACAGATTTCAGGTGCAGATGTAAAACAGAACTACAAGATAATCTCAGGAGCCCTTAGAAGATGTCTTTGGTGAAATGTAGGGTCATATTTCCTGCATCCCAGTTTCTCTGATGATTTGCCAGTTCTTCATTCAAGAAGGAAACCCAACATAATAAATACAACATGGCCTATCATATTAAATTTGAAATACTTGACTCCCGAAGTCATATTTCCAAATTTCCCTTTCCCTTTCACCCATCTATTTAAAAAGCTTTAATATGTCTTTGATATATTTAGACCTCTTTATAAAATATACTATGACTTTTTAAAAGATTTCTCATAATTCAATTTTTAACCAAGCCAATCCTCAAATGAATACAGTATCAGCATAAAGGTGGGTGGTGTTAAAAACTGCACAAATGCATGCTTCTGAACTTCTCACAATCCCCACTAACATACTATGACTTTTAAAAGATTTCTCATAATTCAATTTTTAACCAAGCCAATCCTCAAATGAATACAGTATCAGCATAAAGGTGGGTGGTGTTAAAAACTGCACACTACCTCCATTTCTTCCCCATCTATTTGCCAGGAAGTGAGAGGACCAGATGCCATGATCTTAGTTTTCTTAATGTTGAGTTTCAAGCCAACTGTTGCACTCTCCTCCTTCACCCGCATCAAGAGGCTCTTTAGTTCCTCTTCACTTTCTGCCATGAGAGTGGTATCATCTGCATATCTGAGGTTGATGATATTTCTCCCAGCAATCTTAATTCCAACTGGTGATTCATCTAGCCCAGCCTTTCTCATGATGTGCTCTGCATGTAAGTTAAATGGGCAGGGCGACAGTATACAGCCTTGCCGAACTCCTTTCTCAATTTTGAACCAATCAGTGGTTCCGTGTCCAGTTCTCACTGTTGCTACTTGACCCGCATATAGATTTCTCAAGAGACAAATAAGATGGTCTGGTACTCCCATCTCTTTGAGAACTTGCCACAATTTGTTGTTATCCACACAATCAAAGGCTTTAGCATAGTCAATGAGTTTTTCCGGAATTCCCTAGCTTTCTCCATGATCCAGCATATGTTGGCAATTTGATCTCTAGTTCCTCTCCCTCTTTGAAATCCTGCCTGTACCTCTGGTAGTTCTTGGTCCACATATTGCTGGAGCCTAGCTTGTAGGATTTTGAGCATAACTTTGCTAGCATGTGAAATGAGTGCAATGGTGCAGTAGTTTGAACATTCTTTGGCATTGCCCTTCTTTGGGATCGGAATGTAAACTGACCTTTTCCAATCCTGTGGCCACTGTTGAGTTTTCCAAATTTGCTGGCATATTAAGTTTAGCACTTTTACTGCATCGTCTTTTAAGATTAGCTAGAAGAGATAAGAATGCCTTCTTAAATGAACAGTGCAAAAAAATAGAAGAAAACAATAGAATAGGGAGGACCAAGAGATCTCTTCAAGAAAATTGGAGATATGAAGAGAACGTTTCATGGAAAGATGGGCATGATAAAGGACAAAAATGGCAGGGACCTAACAGAGGCAGAAGAGATTAAGAAGAGGTGGCAAGATTACACAGAAGAACTATACAAGAAAGAGCTTAACATCCCTGATAACCACGACGGCCAGACATCCTGGAATGTGAAGTCAAATGGACCTTAGGAAGTCTGAGCAACAACAAAGCTAGTGGAGGTGACAGTATTCTTTCCTCAGCTATTTGTAAAGCTTCCTCAGACAGCCAGCACTGTTTGCTTTCTTGCATTTCTTTTCTTTGGGATGGTTTTAGTTGCTACCTCTTGTACAAAGTTGTGAACCTCCATCTCTAGTTCTTCAGGCACTCTGCCTATCAGATCTAATTCCTTAAATCTATTTGTCACCTCTACTGTATATTCATCAGGGATATGATTCAGGTCATGGCCTATTGCTTTTCCCTACTTTCTTCAATTTAAGCCTAACTTTTGCAACCAGAAGCTCATGATCTGAGCCACAGTCAGCTCCTGGTCTAGTTTTTATTGACTGCATAGAGCTTATTCTGGTTGTCTTTTGACTTCCTACTTTAGCAGTGCAAAAATAGGGATTCAGTTTTACCATCACAGCGATAATTAGGTCTTATTAAGAAACTGCAATAGCTCAACATTTCCTGTAGATGGTACCCTGTTTATTGCGATGTAAAAGGTATACAGGATTTTCAAGTACTCAGCTTCCATCTTGTTCTTTTATCTTGACCAGTTACACTTTTTTATAATACCTATGGGTGTTACATTTCAGACAAAATTTCTAGAAGTTGCTAAAATAAGCAATCCAAATAAGGTAGTATATGATAGTCTTAATCATATCCGTATGTTTAAGACAAATGGTGTCTTGGTGACGCAACAGCCCAAGGATTTGGAAGGATTTTTAAAACCTGCAGAATCTGCTGTTATCGATTAAAAATAATAGACGTATTGATGGAATGCAAACAGTTCATTACATCTCTTTTGTTTCCTTAACATACATACATACATACATACATAGTCTTGAAATGTAACAAGCATGTACAAATCAGTATGAATATAAGATGGATATAAGGGAACCCACATTTTAAATTTAGACAGATATTAATATACATATCTGGTAGTCACATTACAAGAAACTGTCTTAAACACAGTATAAATCCCAATGGCAAATTCAGCGAGCAATGATTCTCTTATGCTACTGTGTAGTTTCGGAACTAAAACAGAACACAATGCAACAGCAGAAACCATAACTGACAGTGTATTTTACATTGTATTTCCCTGTAAATCATGGTATTTCTACCAACCAATGAGTTTGTAAGTAATTGCTTATATTCAAGATGGAAAAAGCAAATCTCCATTATGCTCACAACTCAGGTATAGCTGTGGGATGATGTATTTGTTTCTTGTCAGCAAAGTAGGATCTATCTGAAACTCTTTGGCCCTTAAATAATAATTCCCAGAAATCTGTTAATGCTTCTCAGAGATTCTTTATTTTTTAAGTATTACAGCTTTCGATTTCAAAAATGGAAGATTACTGTGTGTTGACTTTTTCAAAAAGCATAAACATTACTTTAGCAACTGTGAATTACTGAGTGAAGGCAAACTCCAGAAATAGTTTATACTCTGAAAGAAGAAACTAGTAAAGAACTCCAAAAATGTAGTGGTAATTTAAGAAGTATTGCTAATACTTTTGTGTCTGCTGTAAGAAGGACTCATGACATCACTACCAGTTGAAGATATTGGTATCAATTCATCCCAAGGTTATGTTACCCACCCCCCACCCCCCATTTTTAGAAAATGAATGGGGAAAAAACATTTACTTGAACAAGACATGGATGAGAAAACAATGATTCAATAGCCTGGCAAAAGTGCAGTCTTGTTTACAGAAATAGCTCCCATCCCATCAGCTTTCATTGCTCTATGCTTAATATAGATGTAGTCATGATATATCACACACACAATTTTAATATTTTAAGAATACCATGAATCTTAATTCATTTTTAAGAATTAAGAACTAATTTACACTGAAAATTCATTTGTGTTTTTTGCAAGGGGTGTTGAACCTCAGATCTTTAGATCAAATTCAACCAACCTGGAGACTCAAAAGGTCCTTTCTGTTACTTCACAGTGTCCTTTCAAGAAAGCCTAGCAAAAACTGAAAGGTTGACTCTTGTCTCAAAGTCTACCCAGATAACCTGGCAGGAGGAACTTACCTTTCTACCTAACACTATAATTTGCTGAGGGGAAGGAAAAATTGTTCATGGGCATTTGTGGCCCAGGCAGTCAGACAGAATGAGGCATTCACTTGTGATAACAGGATTTGTGCAGTGCGAAGAAATGATCAAGGAATAGCTTAAAATATGTTGTAACTAACCATGAAAATATTCAGAGTTGTCAAGAAGAAAATATTATTTTTCTTCCTCTTAATCTAACTGCCATGTTCAGAAGACAACAGATGGAACTGCTGAAAAGTGCATCATATTTATTCTTCGGTTCTTGGAAGAAATCTCAGTAATTCTTTTTTAATGACAATTTTCTTCAAACTTCCAAGGCATTAGGAAAACAACCAGCACATGAAAAATGCTATTTTGTGAAACGAACAATTAGAATTAAGACTACCAGGATTTAATTTGATATGCACAAATCTAACAAATTACAAACCTGGCATCAATGCAGCTGTGGGAAATATTTCTTGTAGCTTAATTTCACCTTCATACACTAATTCCTCTTTGGTTATTGGAAGGTCTAGGGCATCTCGGATTATCTCTGCTGCTTCCAATGTTTTTTTACCCATAACTAAGGATTTCACATCCCAGGTGTAGGTCTTTCCAAAGCGGTCACAAATTTCTTGGTACACAACAGTATAAAGATGTTCAGTATCTAAAAGACAGACAGACAGACAGCAGAATTAGTAACTTTATGCCACTGGTGTTTTATCACTCAGATTTCAAAACATTGAACAACTAAACCAAGATCCCCAAATCCAGGAAATTCAAATGTAAGCAGCAGCATTTTGCAAAGAAGATCTGAAGCTTAAAGCAGCAAATTCAGGCTTACAAAAATAGTACTTTATGTGTGCTTTCTTTCTGAAGAAATAGAAAAACCCACCTCTCACATCATCAACAAATGGTACCCCATTTGTACTAATTGCTACATATAGCTACCACACTTACATTGCTACAGCTAGGACCGCTAGAATCAAGAATGTTCACCCATGAATTGTTACAATGTGTGAACCAGACCAATATTATATCAATTTTATAACAGAGAAGTAACAAGGATGATAACATTTTCTCTAACGCAGACATAAAGTTAAATTTACTTACACATATAGGATTAGTAAATTTGGAAGGTATTTCAGGGGAGAGCCAAAATCCCCCCAACTCAATTGGACTGAAGAAAAATCCAAGACACTTTAGGTGAGGGAAAGCTTACCTTTCAATAAAATGACCCAAGATTCTTAAGAGGAAAAATAACTTTGCCACTACTTTCCTCCATAGCCCAGTAAGTCCCTTTGCAATTTCAGACACAAGACTGCACGGAAACAGTGCAATGGTTTGCTGTAGCATAATTCCTAGTGGGCTGGGGAAGGTGACTGAACCATATTAATCAAAATTAATATTAAAATTAATATTAATTACAAATTAAAACACACTATTGTGGGCTGCAATATACAATGATGGGTTTTAAGTGTCGTTCATATCTAACCGCATGTGTGCAAGCAAAACATTGCCTTAATTGGGAGATGATCTTTATCATGAAACTGTAGATGACAAATGAAGAGGGAAATCTGGTACTCAAGGGATGTCATTACATATTCTATTTAAACTATAAATTTATTTTTCAAGCCTTTGAACAAGCCTTTATACGTTCTTCAAAAGACACCACAGTTTTCATTACAGTGCCAGTGGCACTAGTATACTTACATCTGATTTTACTTCCATTACAACCCTATAACCTATAATCAAGGGGGTTTAAGAGTAAGTTATCTTCAGGCCACATTCATGCATATCAAAACTTCCTCTGAATTTATTAATTTTAAAAAGAGACAAGCAAACATATGTACAGTAATACGATTTTTCTGAGGCTGTTTAAAAGGGGGAAAAACAAAGAAAGGTTGGTTTGCAAGCACTTCTTGAAGTTGGTTTGAATCAGAAGGACTATTGATACTATCTCTTCCATTTTTTAAATCAAAGTCCACTATACAAATGGATAATGGTGCATTGCCACTGATCTTCACATGGAATCTCCATCTATCCATCATCATGACAAATTTCACCATACAAAGGAGCAGGAAAATTATCTACTTATCTCTTTGGAGCCTCAGGAAAGCTCAAGAACAGAGCTGGCATAGGCTTTCACTAGAAATCAGCACACTAAAACTATCCTTGGCTCCAAGGCTTCAGGCCAGTCAGTACAACACAAGCTGCCAGAAGGCATCCAGTACTGCAGAGCCCATAGGTGTGATGTACAGAGACCACGAAGGAGAGATTGGAAACTGGTAAAGTCCAGAGACGGACAGGTCTGAGGCTATCAGTTTGATTTTGTCTACCTTTTGTTTGATGGTGCCCCAGACCAAATTTATTCAGTTCTTGCTATTCTTCCAGCATAATTTTTAACCTTCTGCTAATGATTCTTTTCCACCATAGCAACTAGTAAGTCTCCAGTTCTGCAAACATGGTACTTGTGACACCAGGGGATTCCATTGCTCTGAATGCTGATAAATGAATGAACAATGTAGACTTCTCCTATATTTCTCTGGAACAAAGACACATTGTCTACAAACTGTAACATGCCAAATTCATGAATGAGCAGTCATTCCAGTTGGCTGGGACCAACTGCCATTTCGCTCCTTCTTTTCTACTACTATCTTCCCCAGTGGCCAATTCATTTGGCCAATAAACATATATCTAACTAATATAATATCCATTTTCTTGCCTCCCAATATATGTTTCTTCTGTATCAGCCCTATCAGTAATGTGAAACTCTGGGCAGAGATTGCTTTAAACCACTGCATGCCTTAAAGAACTTAAAAGTTGTTATTTTAATATGGTCAATTACAGCTTACTTAGGGAAACAAGAAGCTGACGTGTTGTGGATCGAATACAGAATAGGTGAGGAAGTAATTTGTTAGAAAATCCATACAAAAGTTCATTGACAGATGAGTAAAATATATCTATAGCTAGCATTTCAGAACACTCTGTGTAACATATAGACTTCTGTATGAATTCAATTTAAAATTTCTAGCCATCACAACTACAGAGACAATTCAGGAGATTTTGTATTGTACTTGAGTTTTTAGAGGTCAAAAATTATGCTATTATGGAAGAAATGCATAGCCAGTAATGCACCTTGGCTTCTGCCAAGTGAACATAAATTAACTTGAATGTTCGTGACATACAACTGAAATACACAGATTAGGTGAAACACTATATTTCTAATTCCGATTCCCTGTGACTCTTGCTACCCAACTAATCGCTCACCAAAACTGAAGCTCTTTTTTGGCAGTATAAGATAAATACTGTTACAAAATGACACAAGTTTATGGTCTAGGGGCCTAAGCTGCAAGCATATGCTTATGCTTCCTTCTCCTCATATGAAAAAGCAAAACATGCAGACAAGGATAAAGATAACACAAATAACTTGGTCAGTTTATTCAGATAACCATAGCTCAGAGTAGAAAGATAAATATATGTCCATATTCTACCATATCACTCAAAAATTGCTTCATCCAGACTGTGCCTTCATAGCTAGTAAAATGTGCATTTTTAATCCATCAGCATAAAAATGCATAAACACCACTTGTTTATCCGAGGCAAGCTTTCAACATTGTGGGCATTCTCCCAAGCAGCTTCCAGCTCAAAATCTCTGGATTTGTATCACTGACCTGAACTCAGCTATACTTTATATCAATCTAAGGCCATGTCAGCATCAGGTCAATTTTATATTGTTAAATGACAGGATGATCCATATACTGCAAGTAACATAAGGGTCAGGAGAGATTCAGGGGAAAAGTTAAGCATCTTTCCATTGTAATCATGGGCCCCTCAAAATAACACAGGTTATATATCACAATGCTTCTTTCCGTCAGCACAAATGCTAGGGACTCTGAAAGATGCCAAGGTTGATAGCCTGAGGATGGAAAAAGCAAAATTCCCACACCCCTGTTCACTTGGCTCTCCTACATGATGCTCTCAGCAAGCACATGAGCAGGGGAACTGGCAGCCTGATGAAGATGGCTCACTCTGAATTCTGTTTCTCAAGTGTTGAGAAACTGTTGCTTCCATCTAAAAGAATTACTGAGCCATTTAAAGACAGGGGAAAATAAATTCTATCAATTGGTACACTTTGCAATACTAGAGCAAAATACGGTAATAAATATAATAGCTCAGATCCTGAGTTTGCTTCCACTGGAGGAAGCATCCTTTGAGTTGTGTTCCATTCATGTGACTGTCCCACAGCTAGAAGGGAAGGGGCAGAGCTTTTACTCTTCCATCTTCCCCTGTGGAGTCTCCTCTGGAGAATGCACTGGGACAGTAAGGAGTGCAGAAAAGGGAGGAAATAAGTGAATCTCCACAGTTCTACCGTTTTCCAGTCCCTTTCTTCTGCAACAAAATCTTCAAAACAACCAACTTTTCTTGCTGATTTACAAGAAGAACATAGCCTTACCTCTCCTCGGTGGTATAAGTGATAACCTAATGATCTATATTATGCATATATTTAAAAAAATCTGAAAGCTTTCCAGAGCATACCACAAATAGAAATGTATATACGAAAGAGAAGGGTAGATTACTAGTACTTTAAAAAATATTCAGTGAGTAAGAAAAAGAAATATTCTTGTGATTGCCAAGAACCTCCAATTGCTGCTAATTTAACTCAGTGATGATTTGAAATTAAGTTTTTTGATTAACACTTTGCATAATTCAATACAATTATCAATAACTCATCCTAATGGGGAGCAGACACTCCATTCTTTAAAGCTTTAGCTACTGAAAATAAGTTTTATCCTGCCATATTACACAGAAAGCATAAGTACCTGCTATAAATTGATATTCTGTATGCTACAATGTAGCTTGCTGTAAATGCGTGCCTCATTACAGCCAAGAAAAATAATTGCTCCTGGCTTGATTCTTCAATTATTAAGAATAGAAATCATTATTGCAAGAATGAAAGACCACCCCCAGTTAAAGAGCACTCTCACAAATTGTTACCACCAGAAGGTTCAGGAATAAATTCAGGGACACAGTAGGGACAACTTTTCTTAAGAAAATAATTACTACCTAAAAAGCATAAGTGCCATAGTTCCAATGCAAGTAATATGCAAATACTTCATTTTAGCAAGTTTACCTTTAACAGTGGTCTTTGGCTAAATCAAGCAGGTACGCTTAGGTTCATCCCTAAAAGCAGAATAGGTCATTTTTCTATTTTTTTCCCTTACTTCCTCAACCTGGAGAGCGTATCATTTGGCAATTCCTAAACTAGCATCATTATACTAATAAGGCTCATCTTTTGATTTAAATTTGTCTGCATGCACACAAGAAATAACCACCAATGCGATCGCATAAAGGCACATGGGTTTTTCAATATATGATAATCTTCATACCACCACCCTAAAGGACAATTTATATGGTAAAAAGTCAATCTGAGAAGGCTGACTAGTGCATTCCATTGAAGGCATTTCTTGCATGAGCATTTGATTCATGCAAGGGCAAAAGGCAAATTATAGGTACCACAGAAAAGCAACAAACTATTACCAGTATATTTTCAGAGTTGAGACACTTTCATATCACTTGAAAATTACTCTGAACATGATTAAGTATATAATGGTTGTACTTTCAGTGCAATGGCATAAAGATATTGCATATATAACATCATATAAA